GTCGTTCTTTTTAGTTTCATGTTAACATTTCACGTCAACTTTGTTATGCTATTTAACAAAAACACATTAACGTTGCTAATACCAATAAATTAAAACACCATCACCATCTTCTTTGCCAATGCCAGCCCATAGCCTTTTTCAAACACCAAAAACCATCAAAATCATAGCCACTTTCCTCGCCATAAACACACCCTATCTCTGCAACTTTAATCATGACCTAGACCACGACCAAAACTATCTCTTCCCTCTAAAATATGACTTCAATTTATTATTCTTGTTTTTTATTTTTTTAAATCCCATTAAAGTAAATTACAATGCTGAAATATACTTTAAAAAGTCTGTAAAATAACTATCGGTAAAGATAATTATTTTAATTTTACATAAAATGTTTGTCTAAATAAAACTCTTATGACTCGTTTAAAATTAAGAATGCAAATGAGATGAGCAAAATGAAGTGTTTATAATTTAAACTTACCTCGTAAAAAATATATTTAAGTTTTACTTGTTTAAATAAGTTCGATTTAAATTTTAAGCTTTGGTTAGTTAAAGAGTTGAACCTTGAATTTAATTTATTTCCTTGTTTATAATGTTTATTTGATAATTTTCCATCTTTAAATTATATTTTGTTTATTAAATTAATATTTAATATATTTTGTATGACAAATAAATAAAGTAACATAATGATAAAATATAATTTTATATACATAAATGTGAATTAAAAATAAAAACATATAATTAAAATGATAAATTTATTTAAAATAAATAATACATATATAATTTTTTATCGATTCAACTTTTAGATTATTATTATATATTATCTTTATTATTTATGTCAAATATTGTTAAAATTGAATAATTACAATAATATAAATTAATTTTGTTAGTTTTATATATTTTAAAAGTATATATTATATTAATTTTTATATATGTATATGAATAAGATATCAAATAATTTTTAATTAATGTCAAATTTTATAAATATAATTTATATTATTGAAATTTTAAATTTAAAGAAATAGAAAAATAAATCTAACAATTAATTATATGATTAAATTATTTAATAAAAAATTTACTAAATAGTATATAAATAAATATAATTTATGATAATTAAAATTAATTTATCTACATACATGATTAAATTTAAATTTAATAGATAATATAATGTTGAGTACGTGAATTAATTGGTATAAGTTATTTCAGTTTAATTAATGATTTCAAAGACTCAAACTCAAGTCTCACTAAATATAATGTAAATATATTTTATTTAAATATAAAACAATAAATTTAAATTTTTTATTTATAATTATATGAATAATTTTTTAAATATTAAAAATAATTACGCTTAAGTTAAATAGAACCATTATAAATGGCAAAAACTTTAAATCAAAATTTATTATTTACAATTACATGAATATTTTGTTGTCGGAACTATTAAAAATAATTTTCTTCAAACGGGATAATGATAAATGGTAAATTTTTTTATCTCAATATTTAACATCATTCATGTACAGTGAACAAAATTCTTACACAAATAATTTAAAATAAATATTTATTAAACAGAATACAAATTAATTACCAATAGTTATAATTACGTAATATATATTTTAAAACATATTACAGTAAATTTATAAATAACAAAGTTAAAATACAATAACTTCAATTAGTTGAATTTAAAAACACAGTTATTATCCTTTTCAAGATAAATCAATTTGACATAACCCGACGCGCGTGGGCTTCCTGTCATCACCTGAATTTTATTATTGTTAATATTAAATAATTTATTATATTTTACATTTTAATAACATCCTCTGCAGATTCCTTTTCAGATTGATGAAAACATTGAAAAGTCAAGTCATATATCAGATCCAGATATTCATCATTGGTAGTAATGCAGGCATTGTCTCTTATCTCATTTGCATTAATCTAATTCAGAAATGTTATTAACAGATCCAATTCAAATAAAACTGACACTGTTTTCTATTAATTTGTTTCAGCTGATGGGTATTTTTAAAAAACTATTTGAACCAATTATTAAAAATTTGAAATCGAGACATTTGATGAATGTACAGTTTAAATTATTTTCTTAAAATATTTATAAAGGACAAAAATAAAGAAATTAAATGAATTAACATTTTTAAGTTAAAATTAACTTGTTTTAAAAATATATATTTCTTTCTTTAAAATATAAAATACGTAAATTAACTTTAATTTGTAATTTTTTTCTCCTACAGTTATTTCTACATGTGTTTAACTGAACAATATATCAAAAAGCAATCTATAGAACTCGACCATGTAAACGAATCAAATCCACAAATGCATGAAGCCGACCAGCATGCATGCAAATAATTAACGTGGGCACATTCAACTTCATCTTTTATGTACGAGGCAAATGGTAATATTATAAGTAAATTGATTTTTCTAGAAATTAAAATATGTTTTTTCTTTTGTTCTCTAAAAGACGGATTTGAGATATATTTGAGCTATTTTCAAAGTAAAGAAATTTGTACTCTCCTTGTAATTTTCGACATGACTGAAAACTAAATTTGAATATATAATATCAAATTTGTGACTTTAAAAGATAAAATAAATTTTGGGTAGGATTTTAAAATTGATAATAGAGACATTTAAAACTCTATCTACCTTCTAAAATATTAAAAAGCAACAACATTTAAAAATTAATTGTTGGTAACTTTGGATGTTATAAAAAAGACAATATATCATTTATAGTAATGTTTATACTTAGTTGTCATTATTAAAATAACCATTTATATTAAAAATAATTAAAATATGACTCATTTATTTCTCAATGTAATAAATTATATAATTTTAAAAAGTAAAAAAAATATACTCTAGTATTAAAAGAGCTGAGAGAAATACAAAAATAAAAAGTACTAAAACGAAGTATGAGAAATTTTGTAAAATTTGATATTAATTTCTAAGTCGCTTGAATAAAGCAAAATGAAAAAAAAAAGCATCTTTCTACTTATTTACTTGAACAATGAACAAGAAAATATAGATATAGAATAAAATAAAAGTTTTTTTTTTTAACTATTTTCTCGTCGATTTGGAGAGACTAACAATTTTTTGGGCACCTTTTTAACTAACAAGTTCAACTACAGATTATAACATTTTATTGAATGAGTGTTTGCAAATTTGATTTTGAATAAATTTAATTTCGTAAAATCAAATAAATAAGTTTAAAACTGTATTAATTTTATTTAAAATCTTTAATTTTAAAAGTAAGTATGTAAAAAAATTTAATATAATTTTTTAAGTCTAACTCAATAGATAAAATTTATAATTTTGATTTAATTGTGAATTTAAATGTAAAATCAAATTTAGTTAAAAGTAATTATCATACAATTTTTTTTAGAATCACATAATAATAAAATAAACATGATTTTGTGACATTTAAAGAAGAATCCAAACATATATGTGCTAAATAAACACACGTAGAAAGTACATTGTCAAACAAATTAACATGAAAAAAAGAAGATATTTTTACACTGAAAATATACAAATTATTTTATTTAATTTAAATATTTTATTTAACTTACATCTAATAGTTAGTAAAATAATAAATTATAATTTATTAAATATAAATTAAATAAAAAAATTTAGACTTATATGAATGTGATAAAAAATATAATTTATTTTGTTTTTTTTTATAAATAGATGCCTTTTGTCCTGAAAAAGTTTCATAATTAGAAATAGTTTGACTTTGATAAAAATCAATTAAAGGGCAAACCAATCATTTTGTTGGGGGTGCAGCAACGGGCCCTTTGTAGCCCTCTCTTGGCCCTCACTCTTCTTGCTTCCTTGGTTCGTACAACTATGAACCAAACACACAACCAATAAGAAGGACCAACCAAATCTCCTTGCCTTTACGCCATCGTTCCTTAAGAGATGGTTTGGGATGGGAGTTTTAGAAGGGAAAAAAAAGAGTGACATTTATATTTTTATTTTTATTTTTAAATTAACATAATTATAGAATATATATATATATATATATATATATATATATATACATAGTAATAATAAATAGTTAATTAATATATTGTTTATGTCAATTTATTATTTTATATTTTTAATTAAAAAATAAATAAATATATTCATTAGAAAAAAAATTCCTCCCTTTTTTTTAATAAATTAAAGCTCCCCTTTTCAAACATTTGTTCATTCAATAAAATGTTATATTACTCTACAATTTGTAGTAATAAGACTTCTTATAAAAAATATTAATTTGGAGAGGACAAGAAATATTTGATTTTTTCATGTAAAAAAGAAGTGGTAATATATATTTTAAAACAAAGCCACTAAACAAAAAAGTCCAATTACATCTTTACTCTCTTTAATTAAGAATATGTGCATTTTTAGTTTTTGAATTTTTTTTCAAACTAATTAAATATCTTATTTTTTAAATTGTGCAAAATGTATGCTTCTTTGATTATTTTTCTACTTAAAATTTTTATTTTTTATTCAAATTATTAGAGGTGTTTGTATTAGAATTAAATTATAAAATAATTTAAAAATATTTTTAAAATTTTAAAAATAAAAAAAATTAATGAAGAATTAATAATATTTGAAAGATCGTATAAAATTTGAAATTATGGTTTGAAGATGAATAATTTTATAAAAAAATTGGATAAAATTTGATATTTTTATAATAGACAAATTAATCAGTTATAATTGTAAAAAATTTGAGTAAAAATTATAATTTAAAAATTTTTAAATAGTCAATTTTTAAAAAATAATTAATTAAAAATTAAAACTAAAATCACATGTAACTTAAATTAAAACGATCGAGAATGTAATTAAGGGGGGAAAAAAGGTAAAGAAGCAAATTGTTGCTCAGACCAGGTTTTAGTTTTGATGGTCTTTATTTTACTTTTTCATGCGAGTAAAGAGAAGGAATTAGAGAAGGGTATTGTGCCAGAAGACGATCCAACTCTAACTCAGACCAATTATCTTCATTCACCTCAGCCGATCCTCTCCTTTTTGTGAAAGCAGGTGCTTCTCGTTCCTTCTTATCTGTTAATATTGTTCTATTCCCTTTTATCTGAGTGCACAAATCTCTTCCTCACTTTTGTTATCCTTCAAGGTAAGCAATTTATTCTTGTAGCTACTTTTGGTGGATATTCGATTTCAACTTTGCCCCTTTGATAATGGGTTGGGGTAAAATTTTGATTTTTGTCCCTTCTTCTCCAACACCAGTTTCAAGTAGAAAAAGGAGGAAAAATACCTTCTTTTTTTTTTTTGTGGGAACATCGGTTGATTCTCTTCTTGCCCATGAGTTGCCCATGAGACTGTTCAGAGTTTTTTTTAGTTGATTTTGTCAAAAGAACAATTCGATGTGCTTCTATAATCGTGGGTGTTGCTTGTATTGCTTCTAAACCATGCTGAACTGGCAATAGCTTTAAATCTGAGCTTTAGTTAATTTTAAGAAAGAAGAAGAGAGAGAAAAAGGTACTTCAGACATTTTTCGTGGATATATAGCTCATAAGAATCAGCATCTGGATGCATTAAGGTTAATTATGTTTTTTTAATTAATTGGCTTATTTATTTTTTAACCAAGCTTTTGCGTTTAGATATACGGGGTTAGCTTTAATTTCCCCCTTAAACTTTTCCTCTGCCAGTTAGATCTAGTTTCAAACATAAGTGTAGTTGCTACACCTAAGAATGAGTTGAGTCAATTCTTTGTGTGTGATGTAAGTTGTAGTTTTAGACATTTTGAAGTGCTAACCTGACAATGTTTGATGTAGAAGTACAGTTGCAAGAGGTTTGATGTCTGGAGAACATGATGTTTGCCTTATGTTTGTGTGATATCTTTTTGGTACTTCGGTATAGGTGGATGCTGTTAATTTTCTGAAGCTTCAAAGCGGCAGAGAATATAGATGATGTACTTATTGTTGCTTTACTGAAGGCAATGTGGTGTATTCATGGTACATGTGTTTGAAATGGGGAAATTGGGTGACATAATTATGATTAAAGTATTAGTGGATTTTCTTTTAACATTTGGTTTTATTTTATTTCAATATATGGCATCTACTGTTCTACATCCTTTTAGTTCTGCAATTACTTTCAGTGCCCACTTTAAGCTACCTGATATCTTTCTACTTACTCTTTGATGGAGCATTGCTAAGGGTTTTCATTGATGAAACATTAGCCTCATTCACTTATTTTTATCATTACACGTGTCCTTTATTTACAAGACTTTTAACCTTTATCTTATGTTCTTAATCCTTAACATTTCTATGAAACATTGGACAGGGCATGGCAGCTGATGAAGATGCTCACTTGTCAGCAGTGAAGTCTCAGCTTAGTCAAGCACATGAAACATGGAAGCAGGAGATTGAAGGAAGCCAATCCCAAGTTGATGCATTTCAAACAGAAGTTATGGAGGTAAAGGTTTGCAATCAGGGTTCAGATGGAAATACCAAAAAGGAGTTGGAGGTTCTTTGGCGAAGAGTCAAGACTGCTGCTACATTGTTGACCTACTTAAAATCAAAAGCTAGGCTCATGGCTGTTCCTCATCTAGCCCATACATCTTGTGGCATCAAACAATTAGAGGGGGTAGGCTTTGTTGACAAAAATGGGATACCATTATCAGGTTGGTCTACCAATGTTGATCTTTCTTCATTTGATGACACAGATGAAGAATCTTGGATAGGAATTAGTCATCAGCACGGTTCCTTAGATGAACAAGATGCTGTTTATATAGGTGAGATACTCAAGTCTGTACAGATGGTTGCAGATGTGATGGAAGCTCTTGTCAAAAGGGTTTTGTTGGTAGAATCAGAAACTGAAATAGAGAAGGAAAAAGTAGGTTTAAGTCAGGAAGAAATTAAGCGAAAGTCTACCCAGTTAGAGAACATGTCTATGAAATTAGAGGAGATGGAACGTTTTGCTTTGAGTACAAACAGTATTCTAAATGAGATGCGGCAGAGAGTTGAGGATTTGGTGGAAGAAACAACCAGACAGAGAGAGCGAGCTGCTGAAAATGAAGAGGAGCTTTCTAGAGTGAAGCGAGAATTTGAGTCTCTGAAATCGTATGTTAGTGGTTTAATCACAGTAAGGGAAACATTGCTTTCTTCAGAGAAGCAATTTCGAACTATTGAGAGGCTGTTTGAAAAGTGAGTATATTATATGGTATATGTGTAGAGCAACATGCATTTATTACGTATCCTGATAATCTAATGATTAACCTACATGATGTTGCTTGACTTAAATACCTTAGTACACTGCCTGCTTCATTTTTGTTCTTTTATATAGTTTGATTTTTTTATCTTGACACCATGCCATCATGTTGATTTTTCTTGGATAAAATTTTCTACTTTTGTGAAATAATGTTATCCTTTTTGTGGGTGTGGATAGGATTCTCTGTATGCATGACCAAGGTCTTGGACTCATTTCAAGAGCAAAATTTTGTACAACTCCAAAATAATCTTGGGAACCTTTAGTGAGAAGAAGTAAATACTATTAAATTTGGTGTTGTTGACATATATATGATAAATTATTAAACGGTCAATTGAGGTCTAACTACGATCTTGTCTATAATTATTTTCAATGGGAGTTGGTTCATGGTTAATAGTAATGCTTTTTTATTTTTTGAGGCTTGGTTAACTATAATGCTTTTATTTCAACAAAATCTAATCTTCTAAAGCATCATAACTTGGCTATTGTTTCATTCAGGAGGACTTCTTCCTTTTTATCTTCTACTTGACTTGGTCACATTTGTGCCACTTATCCAAGTCATATCTTTACCCTATTGGAGCACCCTTTTCTCACCAAAATCCCCCTTCCCAAATAATCACTTAGGCACCACTCTAGTAGAGGGGGCCTCCCAAGCCCTAGCAGGGTCTAGTACCAAAACTAGAAGTGTGAATTGTACCAGAAGTTTTTGGTCTAAAATCCTGTTATTATGTCAAGATAACTTGGGTCATGTGGTGGATGCTGCATTTCCTTTTTAATACATGCTTTTGTTACATGTTGGTGACTGGGGATGAACACCCACACATTTTCCTGTTGATGGAGTAAAACATTTATTTCAATCATCAACTCTCGTAGAATGTTCATTTCTATTTTGATATGTATTTTCCTTACGACCTGATGTTGCTCCGTGTCAGGCTAGTAGCAAAGACTACTCAATTAGAGGGTGAGAAAATGCAGAAAGAGGCTGAAGTTCAGAAACTTATGGAAGAGAATGTGAGGTTGAGTGCAATGCTTGACAAGAAAGAGGCTCAACTTCTAGCATTGAATGAACAGTGCAAGGTAATGGCCTTGAGCGCTTCAAATATATAAATGTCAATGAACCCGGCAAACTGGTTACTTTGCACTTTTATACTGACCAACGGAGGCATCTAAGTGAAGCTCCACTGGATAAAGAACTTGATCAAGGTCCTCTCAACCAGAAGAGGCACTAAGAAGGGGCTATCCATAAACATCATTAATGCCTTTATTTTATTTTCTGGTGCCATTTTTTGTTGTTAAAATTGAACGCAGAAAATACTTGTACTCGTGTGGAATGTAAACTTGCATATTCTTTCACAGAAAAAAAAAAAAGAGATATGGGGTGTCTCTTTGCTGTAAATATTGTAGACCGAATCAGGAACCTCATATCATAGATACCATCAAGTAGGTAACTTCTAAAAGGCAAAAGTATGAAGCTTACCCATGATTATCAAACCATTCTGTTGCCTCCTTCAAATGGTGTTCTGTATTCTTTACTGAGTAAACACATTATTTCTTCATTACTCATTACCCTAATGCCATGGATTTGGTTCTTACATAGGAATATAAATAGATTTCAAAACACGGTTGATCCATGGACATGAGTTTCTGGTTTCATGTCCTTGCCAAACTTTGTTCCTCCTGCCAGATTTTGAACCCTGAATTGATATGGAATTGTCTTCCAACAATTACCATATCAACCAAGAATACAGGTTCCTTGCTATGCTTCTCCCATATATTCTCCACATAACAGATACCACGAATTAACAAAAAAGAGAAGATATATTTTGAAAAATTCTCTTGATCTAATGTACTTTTTGCAGAAAAAAGACCAAATAATTGTTTTAAATTATAAATGAGATTTACTATTTTTTTCATTCATTGAATAGAAGAGTTGATGTTTTATATTTATAATTTTAAAATATGAATGATTATTTTAAAGACTAATAAGGATATTTATCATCCTTATAAGGCAGAACAACCAGACTCATTGCTTGTAAGTGTGGCATTCTATGATTTGTACCAGTTAACGAAGACATCTACAAAATTCAAAGCACTTAGGGAAAAAAGATATGGACTTCTATGACACTTCTATTGCTTGTAAACGCGTCATTGGACATTGGCACTGGCAATGTAAGTACCTATATTGCGCTATGACTTGTAAGCCAATCAACTTTAAAATAAAATTGAAAAAAAATCGTTCAGCTTTATTTACGGACTAAGGGCAATGACACATCTTACATTAAACTTAACTAAGGTCAAGTTTATTTACTAAGATTAAAAAATATTAAGACTTATTTAGTTAAAGTAGACATATTTTAAGTTATTTAAAATGTGTTTTAGGTGTCACAAATTTATCCTATTCAAATGAATATAAATAACATAACAACAATAATAATATTGTATTATTTTTTATTATAATGATTTAAAACCATACATATATTAATCTATTTAAAAGTAGTTTTGTTGACATATTTTAAAATTTTAATTAAAAAGTAAGTTTTGAATTTACACCAGTGATGCCTTTAGATTCATAACTTATTTAAGCGTGTTTAATAAGTTATTTTTAAACAATAACTTATGCAATGACTTATATGATAAAATTTATTAAAATGAAAGAGAAATAATTTATTTTAATAAATTATATAAAAATATTTATTAAAATAAGTTAAAAATAACTCATGACAGTCATAAAATATTTTTTTAATAAACTATTTATAAATTTTTCAAACTTTAAAAATAATTTGTCAAATAAATAAATTTAAATGAAATATTATATTTAAGGAATAGGCTAAAATTGTTTAAGGCTAAGCATAGTTATATTGACCCGTATTTACCCTTAATGTCTACTAACAAATTAATTTTAAAAAATATTTTATAATTTTTCTCATATAATTGTTAACAAAAAATATCCTCAAATCAACACAATTTAAACATAGTCATTATTTCAAAATGTAAGTATTTTATACATTGTATGGGTATATTTATATTTCAATAAAATTTAGATAAATATGCATGATTAATTCATGCAAAAAATTTAAAAAATATTTCAATGTTACAAAATTTCTCATAAATAAAAAAATTTAAACCATAAAATAAATCATTTATATATATATATATATATATATATATTATCCATTCAAATTCTACAATTTTTACTTTATTTTTTATTTTTTTTCTAATTTATCTCTCGGAGACTTATAATTTTCATAAAATGTAAAGAGAAACGATGCTCTCACAATAATTTTTTTAAAAAAAGTATGATTTGAGAAGGAGATAGAAATAAAAAAAGAGAAAAGCAGATAAAATAAATTATCTGATAGAAAAAAAGGAAAAATATTATAAACATTTATTATACGTGAATACTTTAAAATATTTGGATGTTGACGAAAGGAATAAAATAATAGACAGTGCCAGCAGCAATGCCGGACATAAAGTAACATAATTAGCTTAAAAGATTAGACCATTTTTTTATTATTATTTAAAGAATGAAAATGTAATAAGAAACCAAGCAACTGCCGAGGAATCAGAACAACACAGAAAAGCCAACACAAAACAAAGCATTATCTTGTTGTATGAATCAGGTGGTGGGTGCAAGTGCCCATAATTTCTCCCTAAAACCCTAAACCCCATTTCTCTGATTTGGTAAAAGCACAATTGGCAAATGTCTCACTCTCATCCGCTACCCCTTAAGAGACAAGGTGAACACTTTTCTGATGATGGTTCCTCTCCCATTAAACCCTCTCGACTCAAAATTGCAATACCCTCTGAAGATACAGACAAGAAGGTAACCCCCCTTTTTTTTCGCTTCGATCACCTAATTTTCAACCCTAATTGTTTATTTTCCCTCTCTCTCAAAAATTTCATTTTTTGGTTCAGAATGCGAACAGGAGGGTTAAGGATGTTGAAATTTGTGTCCCAATAGTGTATGGGACTATTGCATTTTATCTGGGTAGGAAGGCCAGTGAGTAAGTAGTGTCTTTGAAGGTGTTCCCTTTTCTGTTTTGGGTCAATGGATTTTGCAACTGTCTCTATTTCTAATCCTTCCTTGCTACCAGGTCTCAATCACATAAGTGGACAGTGTATGTGCGTGGAGCTACAAATGAAGATCTTGGGGTGGTGATTAAGCGTGTTGTGTTTCAGTTGCATCCCAGTTTCAATAATCCCACTAGAGTTGTTGAGTCACCCCCTTTTGAGTTATCAGAATGCGGTTGGGGTGAATTTGAAATAGCCATCACTTTATATTTCCACAGTGATGTTTGTGAAAAACAGTTGGACTTGTGAGTTTCTGTTGCTTGTTCTGGTTTTTTGGCTGATTACGTGGACTTGGGAGATTGCATTTTTTTTAATAACTTGTGTTAATGGATTTTCTTGTTATAGGTATCACCATTTGAAGTTGTATCCAGAAGATGAATCTGGTCCCCAGTCTACTAAGAAACCTGTTGTTGTTGAGTCTTACAATGAGATTGTTTTTCCTGAACCCTCAGAGGCTTTTGTAGCACGTGTACAGAATCATCCTGCTGTTGTGGTGCCTAGGCTTCCTGCTAGTTTGAATTTACCTAGTCCAGGTACTTCCCTTTCAATATTCTTCCTGTTACTATTTTGAATTTTTTTTTACCCTTCAGATTGATTGCTGTAAGCTTTCTCTTGTTTGGGTTTCTGCAGTACCTATTGATACTATGAATGACAAAGAGAGGGGTGACACCAAAGACCATCCTCTAAGCCAGTGGTTCATGAACTTCTCTGAGGCTGATGAGCTCTTAAAACTCGCAGCAGCTCGCCAACAGGTTATGGTTGCTTTATTCAATTATTCTATCGTTACACTTTATTTAACTAGGTAGTTTTGTAGATGCTATGCCTCCTCCTTTTCTTCTTTAAAATAAACATTATTCTTATGCGGTTATGGGGACTACAATCTGAAAATAAATATAATCAATTTACTGATCCATTCCTGATATGCGATTAATCAAGATAATATTTTCACAAATGAGATATTATTTCTATTTTGTCTGCATTTTTATTTTCTAGTCTAGCAGGCTTTTATTGGATGGTGAAACCTAATGGATTAGTACGTGGTTTTCACCAAATGTTTTATTTGTTTGGCACTGTTTTGGATGCATATTGTGAGCACTAAGTTAACTTCTCCCGTTGCACATGTGGACTTCTCTTTTTCACTGGTTGAAAGCATTTTTTTAATCTTTAACTGATGAGTTACATATGAAGTTATTTAATTATTAGACTTGGTGAGAATTTCTATGCTGACTGTGTTTGCAATGTCCAAGGTGCAAGCTCATATTGTTAAGCTGCGAAGACAATTGAGTTTGGTGGAAGGACTGCCTCAGCTGTCAAAACCGCCCTCTGGTTATGAATGTACATAATGATGAATAATTATGTATATATGGGTATAGTCTTCCTTGTAGATTGTGTTGAATATTTTTAGCTGTAGAAACCAATAGATTAGAGTTTTAGAAGAATGGACGTGATCAGTAGCCTTCATGCCTAAAATCTTAAATGATTATAGATGTGTATTAGCTGTACTTCGAGGAGTTTAATATTTTATCTTGAATTTTATATTTCTATCCTAATCTCTTGTTACTTTAATATTTAAAAGCCAAGTTTCTATTAACAAGCGTGTGGTTAATTGAATTTTACGCTTAAATTGGCTCAATGTTGATATATATAATTCTTTCCGTATAATGTTTAATACAAAATATTCGGATGTAATGAAGTAAACACAAGTTTTATAGAAGGAGCACTACTTTATAGCATTGCCAACAGCTATGTTGAAGCTTCCTTGTAGGACCGAAAGAGACATTTTGCATACAGCGCGGGACATAATTTAACGGTTAAGATAAATTCAGTTTATCCTGTATAAACATTTTCGAAGGATGTTTCCATGAGATAGGAAAAGGTTGCAATTGTACTTCAGGAAAGAGTAAAAACATGAAACAGGAAAATAATATTATTTTCAGTGTTTTTTCACAAATCTTTAAAAGCATGAAACATAATAAAAATAAAAAATATTTTCTAAAATTAAACATTTTGTTAGCTTATTATGTGCGGTTCTAGTTTTGATATATTTAAGTTATTTGACAGAAAAGATAGAATATATGTATCATGAAGTTTTATAAACTCCTTTTTTTGGCTTGTTATGCATTATTGTCTTCATTTTCTGGCTATCTGCATTTGAAAAATAATCTCACAAGAAGTAAAATGGGAGACTTTCTTTTAAGATTTTTTTTTTAATTAAGAAAATTATTTTATGCATAGCCTTTTCCAATCGCAGCATTTCTTTTTATGCTTAATCATATCAATACAGTTCACATTATGAGAAAAAAAATGATATAAAGCCTGTATCCTGTTGATCAACTTTCGCTTGTGCTAAACGAGTTTAGAATCTCGGTTCGAGTCTTTGGGCAGGGAAGACAAACTAACATGGGTATTGTCCTGTAGGTAATCATTTTTTCATCATGCCAATATCTTCAATTCTACGCTTTCTAATGGAATGAATTATAAGGATCACATACAATATTAATACCCACAAATAAAATAATTACAGGAACTAATTAAAATACAAACTTCAAAAAATAACCTTATCTATTATATCCTCCTAATAATTCTATTATTATATAAAATAAGCATTACATAAAGATATTTAATTACTATAAAAGGCAAGAAGTTTCAGAAATATTTTTTTAATATCTAAAAGCTACCTTAGGCCGATCGTGCTGAACATCGGAGAAGAATAAAAAGCCTTGAGTAGTATTTTTACTATAAACAAAACAAAAATAAAAGATTCCTCTGTTAAGTTGACCAAACACAGAATATCCAAGTGGTACGGTGGTATATTACTAAGTATCCAGTGTACTGTATACACAAAAGCACTTTATTGTATCCTGTTGGATTCCACATGATATACGAGTCACAAATTTACAAAATTGAGAGGGGCCAACTTTCTCCTCATTCCACTATCAAGACAAGAGGGTGGCTAGGAAAACAAAAAATAAAATAAAAATAACAAGGGGTAATTATTAATCTGAAAACTGAGGACACTCCAAGACATATTTTTTTTTATGAATAAGGAAATATTCATGAAAATAGAAGCAAGTTAGCCAAGTAAAGTGAGAGAGTTCTTAGGCTCTCGGAGACTCAACTTCGTGGCTTCCTTTCTTTTTAGAGAAAAGCCATCCTATCAAAGGCATTAGAGGCTTCCTCTTAACCTTCTTCATTGAAGGAGGTCTTCCAAGCATTTCATCCTTATTAGGAATAACTTGAGCCAATGCATGAGGACTAGCGAATTTCACGTATCTTCTCTTTTGCAACTCTGTTACCTCCTCAGGATCATTTTGTGCTTTTATTTCCTCATTCGTTGCATTTGCTATGAACTTGAGGTCCTCAATTTCTGGATTTTCCCTTCGCTGCAGCAACATTAACTCTCTAGCCTTTGTGTCTTCTAGTTCCTTCTTTGTTTGTTCAAGTTCCCTTTTCAAGGACTTTATGCGCTGAGTCAATAAGTTAGCTTCTTCTTTAGCTCCCTCAAGGTTTTGCTTTGTTTCTTCTAACTCATCTGCCATTGCTCCACCTCTTGACTGTGCACTCCCACTTTCACTTGCTTCAACCCGCATCTTCATCATTTCAAATACATAATCGTAATAAAATTAATTAACAATAGTCTATACACACACTCTTATAATACATAGTTAACCTCATTGCTGGGTTGTTTTGTCGTGCATTATACTGCTAAAGTTGGGCAAATATTCTTAAATTAGTCTTTAATATTATACGAGTTCGAGTGTTTTAGTTTTTCAAATTTTACAATATTTTCTTGAGTTTTAATTTTACAAAACAATATTTATTTTAATTTTTAATATAAAAATAACAAAAAAATTAAAAAATTAAAATGCTTCGCTAACACAAATTTGAGGGGAGATTCAAGTATCTACTCATACTCTTACCAAGACAATGACATTAACATAGGAATGGGAAGAGAAATGGGAGAACAACCTCTTTGAGCTTGTTGGCATAAATTTCTCCAACAAGTACTTTTTCTCCGAACAACATCACTGCTTCTTTAACGGACTTGAATGGGGCTCGAGTGTCAATCTCTGCGCGTCCCATGATCACCATTCTACCATCTTCCTTGTCCATGTATGTTTGTTCTTGAGCTAACTAGTTGCAAACTTTACCACTCTAGAAAGCTATGAAAGAAATGACAGAGTAGCTAATAACGATGGTAAGAAATGTAGGAGTTAACGTCTGAAGGGAAAGGGGAGAAAGAGCTCCATTTAATACAATGAACGAACGAGAGGATTCGTCTTAATGTCATTAGTAATGGGTATTGGTGGTGTAATAATTGGCTAACTTGAAAAGAAACTTAGTAGAATCACAAAACCTTTCTTTTCTTCGCGTCCACTTCACTGATATTTCGTTAATTGAAGTTGACAAGGGTGGTTGGAGTGTCTTGATAATTTAGTTAGTTCAATCTATATGAAATCGAAATATTGAGAGCACCCTTTGCAGCGTTGAGTAGGACTTGTCTCCTTTCAATTAGAGACACTACACAGTAAACCATTTATGGTTCCATTTCAGGCTTTGGTGGAGCCCATAATTTTTTTTTCAGATAGAAATATATATATTGGACAATTTCATGTACTTAAGGAGGAAAGTCTTTTCTGCTCGGTGCCTACGTCCAAATTGCTAATTAAATAAGGTATCCAACGCCCTCTAGTTAGACCTACTTCCAAATTTTAAAGATAAAGGTATTTGTTAATACTTACAAGTAAATTATCCAAAAATATATATATTTAAATTATATTTTGGTAAAAAAGCATTTCATTGTCTTATAAATTTAGTAATTTACAGACAGAAATCACGAATCTTTGTGAAATTTTTTTTTTTTTAAGACACGATAATTTAATAAAAGAAATGTTATACAGGTTAAAACTATTATGTTGAAGCATTTTGACATTCATATTATATATGGGTAAATAAGAGTACATGGGAATTATATGATACGTATGTCACAGAGAGTTATAAACTTTATACGAAAATATTCAAATATTTAAATCATAAAGACAAATCCTTGGGATATTACAAATATATTAATAAGTAGATAAAATTTTTATTCATTAAAACAAGTAGATAAAATTTTATACTTTGTCTATTTTAACTCATCTAAATATCAAATATTTTTTAATTCTATTTCTTAATCTCACATATTTTTTTTATATTTCTTTTCTCTTTATTTTATTAATCATTTAAATTAAACATAAAAATCTACCTACTCTAATAACCTAAAAGACTTATTTTACAACAAGCACAATAATAAGTTTATTAGCAAAAGTAAGTTAATAGACTTTCATAAATAAAAAGCTAATAAACTTGTCTATTTAAATAGGTTAATAAGCCCATTAATGTAAAAAAAATGTTTGCAACATATTTTGTAATATATATTTTTAACACGTTATTAACTGTTAACTTAAATTTATTAAAAGTTATACAAATTTTATTATTTCTTACTTTTAAATTAATATTTCTTTAACATACTTTTATAATTTAAAAAAAATTAATTAATAATTAAAAGTGTATTACTAACATTCATCTTTTTATAAATCAAATACAAGCATGTTAAATTAAATAAAGTAAGTCAATAAATCTATAAATATTTACAACTTATTTTACACGTTATAAAAAAACAAAATAAGTTTTTAACACCAAACTTGTACACCAAATACTCCAATAATTCATATAAAATAAAGCTCTCCAAATTCAAGACTTATTATGCTAATATTTTAATTAAGCTACTAAATATCTTATGCATGTAACTTTAATCCACGTAACAGACAAATGAATCAGCATACAATTTTAGCAAGTCAAATAGTAACAAACTGTTTTTTTTTTTTAATCACGCCTGTTGACTTTCTTAAGACCTTACTTACGATATTATTTAGTTCAACCATTTTAATGAAATATGGTTAATCAACTGATAACAGAAAAATTAAGCAACGGGGCATGATAGTTTGATATAGAAAAATAAAAAGTGATAAAAGTAAAAACTGTTGACATAAATAAACATACCAAAAACTTTATTGATCAAACACAAATAAATTTTTTAAAAAGTTATATTTAGAATAGAAAATAAAAAAATTATGTTGTGATATTACATTTTTTTTCTTTTATTTCAAGCTTTATTTGAATAAAAAACAAGAATGAGAAAAAGAAAAAACACTCTAAGAATTTCAGCACCATGAACTATAGACAAATAGTTGTGAATGGAGCACAGACACACCTAATGAAACTGATGTGGAAATACAACAACGATGAGAAAGATAACTATTTAACAAGATTTAGAGGCAAATTACCAAATTAGCTTGCACCAAATTTAAAATTAATACTGTGTATGGGAATTATATGATACATATGTCAAAGAGAGTTATAAACTTTATATGAAAATATTCAAATATTTAAATCATACAGAGAAATCCATGGGAGTAATAATTATTATATTTAAGAAATATTAATATTTAAATTATGGAAGTATTAGTTAGGATTTGATTTTTTTTAAAGTGAAATATGAAAAATGAAGTTATTCACAAACTGAATTATATTAATTTATTATATAATCTAATCGTAAAATTATAATGTAATTTAATTTAAATAAAAAAATTATATTCAATTTAATCTGATAGAAATAGTTAGAATTTACTTTGATGGTTTGATTTTTATGATTTGATTAAAAGGTGATAATTAATTTTTTTTATTTTTATACTATTTTTTAATAAAATGAAAAAAATATAAAATTGATATAAAAATATGACATGTAATAATAATTTAAAATCAATCTAAAAATACATATAAATATATTAAAACAATAAAATTTAAATTTGAAAGTAAAATCATAAAAAAATAATTTAAGTGACACAGTTTGATAAACATATAATTTTATAAGTAAAATTATACACACATGTACAAGTTTTGTTATGATTGGATTACAATGATTTTTAAAAATAAATTTAAAATTTGATCTAATTTAGTAAAAAATAATGATTTTCTTGTTCTTATTTTTATTTTTTTATAATTTATATTAAATTGGAATGGTTGATTTTAATATAAAATTTGAAAATTCTAAATATCATATCATATATAAATAAAAATTAAATATAAAGAACATTGTGTTAGGTAATTTTTATATAAAATAAATATTTAATTAATGTTCATGAAAACTACAATATTGCTATTCATTAATAAAAAAATATTACTCACTATTTTTAATCTTGAGATTAAACAGTTAAAATATTAAAAATTTATCAAAAATATAATATCACTCCTTTGATAATTTTTTATTTATTAATTTTGTTCTTAATTCATTAAAAATACAAAAAAAAATTATATTAAAAATATTTATTCAATTAGTTTAATTTGTTTTTATTATTTTAATAGAATAATTTTAAACTTTTATTCGTTAAAACAGATAGATAATTTATTTTATTTTAATTCATTGAAGCATAAAATGTTTTTCTTTTCTATTTATTATCATTTCCTTTCACTTTATTTTATTCATTATAAAAAATAAACATAACTGTCTAACCTACTCTAAAATCCTATAAAGTAAAAGCAATAAAAAAACTAATAAGCTTATTAGCCTAAGTAGGTCAATATGCTCACTTACATATCTCACAACTATATACTCTTAAACAAACTAATTAACCTATAAAGATTAATATAATTTTACCAACGGAAGTAATTGTATTTTTAGTAAATACAATTTGAAAGTAACTTATAATTTTTGAATTTTAAATTTTAAAAAGTAATATAAATAAAATTTAACTTTTAAAAATTAACCATTAATATTTTTATTATATTTTTTATTAAAAATATATATTTTATCTTGTTATACAATTATTTCTAATGTATATATTAATTTAATTGTCTTTTATTTTTTTCACATAAATAGAGAAATGCACATGCATATACATGCACACACTTACATATAACCTTTAAGCTTTAAGGTTCAAGTTTATTAAATATAATTAAAATAAAAAAGTTATTTTTAAAAAATTCTTTAAAAACATTTAATTTTTAAAAATAACTATTAATATTTTGGTTATATTATTTTTTAAAAAATTTATTTTTAGTTAAAATATTAACATGCTCATGTTATTATAATTTTGTTATCTTTGTGTTGATTGTAGGTCTTTTTATTTATTTATTTATTATTATTATTAATTAATAATATATTTTTTTCAGTCTTTTTTATAAAAAACAAAAGACTAAATTACTAGGATAAAAAAATATAATTAATTCTGTTATATTTTTTATAAATATAAATTTTATTCTAAAAATACCCATAATATTAAATAATGTAGTTAATAATTTATATATTTAATGATATTAATAAAAGAAGAGTATAAAAGAAATTTAGTAATTAATATATCTTGAATTTATCATTTGTGTCTTATAATAAGGATAAAAAAATATTCTATTTTTTTTTTTATAAAATAGACTGAAGGAAGTATTTTATTAAATTAAATTAATAAAATTAAAAATAACTTATAAAATAAATAATTTAAATTAATTAATGTAATTTTTATTGGTATAACATGTGATAATTAATAACTTTAAAAATAATTTAAATTATTATTATTTTAATAATATCATTTTTATTAACTAAATAAATTAAAATTAAAATTAATATTATATTATATATTATTTTAAATAATTTAATATAAATAAATTAATTATAAACTTAATTTATTAAATAATTTAATTTTATAAGTTGGTTATATTATTAAATATAATAAATTTATAACTTTTAACTAACTTTAAAAATAAAAGTTATTCCCAACTTTTTATGTCATTTTACTCAATATGACCTATTAACCTTTCAATTAATTTCAGAACTCTTGTTGAAAGTAATCAAAGAAAAACAAAAAATATAATAAAAAATAAAAAAGAAAAAATCAGTGCATGGGATTTTTACATATAAAATCATAGCGTTGTTGCGTTCAGTGAGTCAAATTCTCGGTGGTGCCGAGTAGAGTCCCTCTACAGAGGCACGAGAAAGGGGAGGAAACGAAGCACCTTTTCCAAACCTAACAAATTCCATATTCTAATTCGTAGTTTCACTGCAAATCTTTCTTATTTAACTC